CATCTTTGGAGAAAAAGGTGGCAAAAAATACATTTCTTTTTTTCCCACCAAAGAAGCAGAGTGAATTGTTGGAAATTTCTTATAGTTCCATAATTGTCTAGACTCGGATATCCAGTGGGTTTCCTGAATGAAACCCAACTGGACTTTCTTCCTTATTAGGGTGTCAAACAGGAAGCCCTATTTAACATAGGAATTGAGACCTTGAGCATTAATGGATATCATTGTAACCATTTCCTACTCGACCTCTTTTTGGACGACATGACCATGAAAACTATACTTATATTAACAATAATACAAAACATATAAGGCACCAAAATATCCATTACATCCATACTAATTTGAACACTTGGATAATGTATCGAACTCCAAGCTCTGGGTTCACTAAAAGGTACCCACAGGGAGGGGGTGCATCTCGGAGAGAAGGAAAAGAAACAAAAAAAAAATCTAGATTGACCGGGGGAATGCCAGTCTAAGGGGGAGGGGGGGAGAAATGGGGCCGCTTCCCAGTCTAAATCAAATATCTTTTTACTAGAAGACCATTAACTTCTGTCTAAGAGTTCTAAGTGAAAGTATCATACCTTTCTCAAGAGATAAAAAAAAAAAGTAAGTATTACTAATCTGTGGTCCTTTTTTAATAGTAATTTATCTTATATTTGTGCTATCCACTATTTTAGAACCCATTGTCTAGTGCATTTTTACACAATACCAAAAAGCTAAACCTCTACTTCCCCACCGTAACAGGTGATAAAGTCTACTAATACCTGTCTATCAGGGTATATGTCCAACAGATGTGTTAGTACTCGCAACTTTCATTCTCTATTATCCGATTCTCTATCCTCTTAAAAAAGTTATACCTATCAGGTGAATTTTATTCCTATCTTTTCCTGATGTCTCTCCTCCTACCCAACGTCCTTGAAATATTGTGCCAACTTCTAAAAACATAACAGTTAACAATTTCTCAAAAAAAGAAATGTTTTTTACCCTCTTTTTATTATCAATCCTTATTCCCTTTCGTTTAGAAATCTTTGTGATATCTATATAGACAAGTATCCCATCATTGTTTATTAGTGCCATCTAGTCTTCACCAACGTTTTCTAACTCTGTACCTAACCCTATGCACTAATCTAATAAGTGAAGAGTTTTGTGAATTTCTTCTATCAGTGGTTACTCTAACCTAATGTCCTTGATAGGGGACGTCTATATATAATACTCTTCCTTTCACCCCTACTCATTAGTTGTGAATAACTGCTAAAGTGGAGTACATACATTTTCCTACTATCTCTCAGAGCTTCAAAATGGTCCTACATTTACCTGGGCGCAGCCTTAAGTAGGATCTCATGGGAAAAACAAATTAATAAATAGCACAGAAAAAATTATTACGAAAATTAATTAACCATATTTAAAACCCTTGTATATTAGTGCCCTCTTTCTTCCCCTTTTTTCTTTTCTTTTTTCTCTCACTAATGATTTCTAAATCTGTGCATAAACTTACATATATAGTGTAATAAACACTATGTTAAGTGTGTTACATCTTTCAATACTGACTCTTATATATTACCCTTATAAACACGTTTGTTAGTGATCGTCTATATATAAAACTTACCCCCTCCAGTGATGGGTGCTTCCTTGTGTAATTATTGTAATTGACAACTAAAGTGATAGGTATACAATTTCTTAGTGTCTCTCTAAACCTCTAGGTCTAGAGATATCCTGTATATAAAAAGGCCGGAGACACCCCAAAATCACAAGGTACTAAGGGCTGTGCGTGATGACATAACCACGTGCACGCTGTAAGGGTAGCGCGATCAGAGTTAACGGGAAGGTGAGCTGAGCCTTGAGACTCTGGGAAAACCGCCAAACCGACAATAGTTTTTTTTTCTAGCCACGTTGTGGCTAAATCCTTCTGGGAGTGTGCCTGCACAACTGAGAAATCCGGGGTGCTGGGATCGGCTTATTCCGTCACTTCAGAAGGTGGTAAAAAGGATTGAAATGATCCTGCTGGTGCCTCATGTGACCTACACTACAGTCCAGTGGTAGTTTCAACATATTTGCCAGAACAATAATAGATAATTTAGGTGTGTTATATTTATTTTAAAAAGTTTACGACATCCTGAAAGGGGATAGGTGCTGATGAATAAGCTGACGGAAGAATCCTAGGTAAAGAAATATTAACAAAGTACTGAAGAGTTATATGGTAGAATTATTATCATCCTAGCATGGGGTTGATCTCATCCAGAGCTGCCACCCTATTGTTTCATGAGTATCTTATAATTCCTATAATAGCACTAAGAATGACTTCAAAAAAGATACAAGAAAATAAGATAACATCTAAATCTGACAAGAAAGGACAGAAACAGGAAAAACAGAAAAAAAGGCTTTCTTTCTTCTTCTCACCGCAAGATAATCAGGATATTTTGGAGAAAAATAATCCAGAATCCTCTCTTTCATATTTGCCAAGTTCATCTGCATTACCACGAGACAAAGATAGAGTAACGCCAAGTTTTTTTAAATTATGTTTGGGTGATGTCATAAAAGATATAAAATAAAAAGACATAAATGAGAAATTTCTGGATATGAAGTCTGACCTCTCTAAATCCAAGAATCCAAAAATAGAAGAAAGAGAGGAAACAAGAGACTTTCAGACACAAGAGATGAAAGAATCCCAAAATAAAATTGAAGTCAAAATTAAAGAGCTGGAAGATAAACTTCGTGACTTGGAAGATAGATCTAGAAGATCGAATTTAAGATTGTGAAATATCTCAGAAAAAATAACTGACATGCAGCTGCAAGATTATTTAAGAGAATTTTTTTAGTGTCTGGGGATCCCAATAGAAAAACACGATCTAAAAATGGAGCGGTGTCATAGGCTGTATTGCAGAAAGTTAGATCAAAATTACCCACGGGATGTAATCGTAGCATTTCATTCATTTGAATTAAAATATAAGATTTTTCAAACAGCAAAGAAGATGAACATATCGGATGATAAGTTTAAAGCAATCAAAGTTCTAACTGACGTGTCTTACCTCACAAGGTCAAGAAGAAAATCATTTGCGTCTGTCTTTCCCTTCTTGAAGAAATATAATAAAAATAAATGAAAAAAAATAATATGTAACAAGACTATCCTGGAGTATCAGAAGAAAGGGAGAGATAGAATATTACATAAAGAAGAAGCAACCAGTGGGAACTCTTGTTTTTTTTTTTTTTAAATTAGTGGGTATTATGCCCATATATACACATTCCTTTTTTTGGGATGGACCGATTATGTATTTAGAAAAATGCCATTATAATTCTTGTAAATACTCATAAACAGCATATTTTTCTAGTTTTACTTATATCTAGAGTTGAGCGGACACCTGGATGTTCGGGTCCGGCGGGTTTGGCTGAACTTTGAAAAAAAGTCTGGGTTCGTGATCAAACTTGACCCCGGACTTGACCCCGAACCCCATTGAAGTCAATGGGGACCCGAACCTTTGGCCACAAAAATGCCTCTAAAAAAGTCCTGGAAAGGGCTAGAGAGCTGAAAAGCAAGTAAAATGTGGGTAAGAGTAGGAAAAGTGCCCTGCAAACAAATGTGGATAGGGAAATCACTTAAAATAACATAAAAATTAAAAATACAGCTGAGCCATAAAATAGCACTACATGGAATCTTTGATTTTAGCTTTGGAAGAACATAAATCAAAATCTAAAGCATGGCTGTCAGGAGGATCACCAGAATTATCCATTTGAGAGAGGGTTGGAGTGCATGGTATTCTCTTTCATTCTTCAAACTGAGCTCAACTTCTGATGCATGGAGAAAAGGCCTTCACAAGCCTCTGCTATTGTGTACATAGTTTATACTACGTGACCCATAGGTTTTGGAGGCGGTGACCAGGGCAGTGTAGGTGGAAGCGGCGATGGAGGAGGAGGCGGAGGCAGCCAACACTGTTTATGTATATCTATTTTTTATTTAATTGGGGTAGCCCCCAAATATTGGGTCATACAAAAAAAGAAACATTTGCGGCCTGCGGTGCATTTGTTGCAGTCCTGATGCATGGAGAAATACTCAACCCCTGATGCATGGAGAAAAGGCATTCACAAGCCTCTGCTATTGTGTACATAGTTTATACTAATTGACCCATAGGTTGAGGAGGCGGTGACCGTGGAGGCGGGGATGGAGGAGGAGGAGGTAGCCAGCACTATTTATATATATCTATTTTCTATTTTAATTGGGGTAGCCCCCCAAATATTGGGACATACAAAAAAAAGAAACATTTGCGGCCTGCGGTGCATTTCTTGCAGTCCTGATGCATGGAAAAATGCTCAACTCCTGATGCATGGAGAAAAGGCCTTCACAAGCCTCTGATATTGTGTACATAGTTTATACTAAGTGACCCACAGGTTGAGGAGGCATTGACCGTGGAAGCGGCAGTGGAGGAGGAGGAGGTAGCCAACACTGTTTATATATATCTATATTTTATTTTAATTGGGGTAGCCCCCAAAATATTGGGATATACAAAAAAAAGAAAAATTTGCGGACTGCAATGCATTTCTTGCAGCCCTGATGCATGGAGAAATGCTCAACTCCTGATGCATGGAGAAAAGACCTTTACAAGCCTCTGCTATTGTGTACATAGTTTATACTAAGTGACCCATAGGTTGAGGAGGCGGTGTCCGTGGAAGCGGCGGTGGAGGAGGAGGAGGTAGCCAACACTGTTTATATATATCTATTTTTTATTTTATTTGGGGTAGCCCCCAAAATATTGGGATATACAAAAAAAGAAAATTGTTCCGCAGAGCGACTGACCCGTGCGTCCTGCATCTGAAACTCCACTATCGCCTCCTGCTACTCGCACAGTCTCATGAGGCGGTGAGCGGGAAGGCTGAAGTTACACTGCAGCACAGACAGGCGAGCAGCAGCAGGGTGAGAACGTCAAAAGCGCGCACAGACGGCCCTTCACTTTCTGCAGCAGCTCTGATATATCTGGGTATACACCATGGCATCACAAGGGCCACCCAGAACTGGCTTAACTCCCATCAAGCCAAGTCCCTGGAGGAGATCACCCAGCTCATCATGCTAGATCACTTTTTCAATGTGCACCCCAAGGAGAAGGAGACGACGCATTCGTATGTCAATCCATATCAACTTTCGATGCCATTGACTGCGCCTACCATGGTGACCACGGGTAATAGGGAATCAGGGTTCCATTCCATACAGGGACCCTGACAAACGGCTACCACAAGCAAGGAAGGCAGCAGGCGCGCAAATGACCCACTCCCGACGCGGGAAGGTACTGACGACAAACAACAATACAGAATTATTTAGAGGCCCTGTAATTGTAATGAGTCCACTTGAAATCCTTTAGCTCTGATCAATTGGAGGAAAGTCTGGTGCACAGCCACTGACCCGTGCGTGCTGCAGCTGAAACTCCACTATCGCCTGCTGCTGCTCAAACAGTCTCTCCAGCATGTGCAAGGTGGAGTTCCACCTTGTGGGCACGTCGCATATGAGGCAGTGAGCGGGAAGGCCAAACTTACACTGCAGCGCAGACAGGCGAGCAGCAGCAGGGTGAGAACGCCGAAAGCGCACACAGCCGCTACAGTGAATGTCACATCCTGTTCCAAGTTGTGGATCAGTCTGGTGATGGCTTCTGGAATTCAGTACTCTTTTTACTGAAGCTGCATCAGGGTGGCCGCACAAATGCTGGTGCTCAACACCAGGGGGCGTGCAGTTACCCTGCACCAGACTCTGCTAATCCATTCCACACTGTGACTCCTAATTTGAACATCAGGCATACTGGGTCCCAGTTGTCCGACCGCCTCCCAGACAGTGGCTGGGTCCCGGTCACCGGACTGCCTACATGACTGTAAAGCTAAGAATGGATCGTTAAATTTGGTAAGAACCCAAACTTTGCAGTTCGGGTTTGCTCAACTCTATTATAGATCCTTTGATCACTACATCTATTACTTGGATAATTGGTAATTCTCAAGCTAATACATGCCGATGAGCGCTAGGGGATGGCCGCTCCGCTTTTGCACCCTGCTCCCTCTCATGCTGTGCTGGTGCCTCTGTGCGACCAGCGCCTCTTCCTCCAAAATGCACATGTCATTCGCATGACCTTGATTCCATGTGGGGTCTAGGACCTCATCATCCTCCACATCATCTTCCACCCACTCCTCAACCCTGCCCTCCTTGCCGGTATGCACACTGCAGAAAGCCACAGCAGTTGGCACCTGTGTTTTTCCAGTATGTAAAGTCTGCAATGGACATATGGAAATTGTTTTAGAATTGTATCCAGGCAACAGTTTTCCCTATAAACTGACCTCTCAGTTTGACTTGTGCGGGTATTGCCACAGAATTACAATATTGTTTAAGTACCTCTTAGCTATTGATAACTGGTTTAAATATAGCAGCTTGTTATCTGGTAGTTTCTAGTGTTGGAAATATCAGTCTGTTTTTTATCACTTAGATCTGTGTAACAAGTGTTGTAGGTGTGAAACAATATTACAAGTGACCGATGTAGTAAATGCGAATCAAAGTTACACTTCGATTTGACTCTCAGATATGAAGAGTACGCCCCAAAATTTACTATTGAGCAGATTAGCACCCAGAAAATTAGAATTTTTACAAGTGCGCTTTAAGCGCACTATTAGATGCTTTGATTTGACTCTCAGATATGAAGAGCAGGCCCCAAAATGTACTATTTAGCAGATTAGCACCTAGAAAATTAGAATTTTTACAAGTGCGCTTTAAGCGCACTATTAGACGCTTCGATTTGACTCTCAGATATGATGAGCAGTCCCAAAAATGTACTATATAGCAAATTAGCAGCAAAACAATTAGAATATTTACAAGTGCGCTGTAAGCGCACTATTAGACGCTTCTATTTGACTCTCAGAAATGAAGTGCACGCCCCAAAATGTACTATTTAGCAGATTAGCACCCAGAAAATTTGAATGTTTACAACTGCGCTGTAAGCGCACTATTGGACCCTTCTATTTGACTCTCAGATATGAAGTGCACCCCACTAAAATACTATTTAGCAGTTTAGCACCCAAAAAATGTTAAGTTTTAAAACTGCAATGTGACAGCAGTATTTGACGCTTCTATTTGACTCTCAGATATGAATGAAGTGCACCCCACTTATGTACTTTTTAGCACCCAAAAAAATGTAAGTTTTAAAACTGCAATGTGACAGCAGTATTTGATGCTTCTATTTGACTCTCAGATATGAAGTGCACCCCACTAATGTACTATTTAGCACTAAAAAAACTTGACTTTTTAAAACTCTGATGTAACCACGGTATTTGACGCTTCTATTTGACTCTCAGATATGAAGTGCACCCCACTAATGTACTAGTTTGCAGAATTCTTTCCTAAACTGTCCCTCACAGCTACAGCATCCTCTCCCTACACTAATAAGAGCTCATGTGCGTGCGGCGCTACGCGACTCCAGCTTATATATAAAGACTGGGTCACATGCTGCACTGGCCAATCATAGCCATGCCATTAGTAGGCATGGCTTTGATGGCTTCTAAGGGCACACGAGTCAAACGCTTGTTAATTGGCTGCCCTGCAGCCTTTGAAAACGCGCCATTAAATCGCCGAACACCGAACTTAAAAAAAAACGTAATGTTTTCAGTTCGGGTTCGCTCAACTCTACTTATATCTTCTCATGCCAACTGTAAGATAAAATATTTGTCTTTAAGTCAGCATTACACACAATTTAATTTGTAGATATCCCCTCACAGCAAACTACACTGATCAAAATTATAAACGCAATACTTTTGTTTTGCCACCATTTTTCATGAGCTGAACTGAAAGATCTAAGACTTTTTCTATGTCCACAAAAGGCCTATTTCCCTCAAATATCATCTCACAAATCTTTCTAAATCTGTGTTAGTGAGCACTTCTCCTTTGCCGAGATAATCCATCCACCTCACAGGTGTGGCATATCAAGATGCTGATTAAACAGCATGATTATTGCACAGGTGTGCCTTAGGATAGCTACAATAAAAGGCCACTCTAAAATGTGCAGTTTTACTGTATTGTGAGGTCCGGGGGGGGGGTCCAAATACCGGTCAGTATCTGGTGTGACCACCATTTGCCTCACACAGTGCAACACATATCATTCGCATAGAGTTGATCAGGTTGTTGATTGTGGCCTATGGAATGTTGGTCCACTCCTCTTTAATGGTTGTGCAAAGTTGCTTAATATTGGCAGGACCTGGAACACGTTGTCATATTCGCCGATCCAGAGCATCCCAAACATGCTCAATGGGTAACATGTCCAGTGTGTATGGTGGCCATGCAAGAACTGGGATATTTTCAGCTTCCAGGAATTGTGTACAGATCCTTGCAACATGCATTATTATGCTGCAACATGAAGTGATGGTCATGGATGAATGGCACAACAATGGGCCTCAGGACCTCGTCACTTATTCAAAATGCCATCAATAAAATGCACCTGTGTTAGTTGTCCATAACAAATGCCTGCCCATACCATAACCCCACCGCCACCATGGGCCACTCGATCCACAAATGCAAAATTCCTTTTAATGCTCTAGTTCTTCTCCAACATCTTTCAATTAAATGTTAAACATATTTTTTTTTATTAACCAAGACATAACATAAGACCAAAAGCTGATTTTGCCTTAATTCTTATAGAAAGAGGGAAAATAAGCACCAGATTCCATGATGAAAGAAAGAAACAGAAAGAAAAAAATTAAGAGAAAGAAAACGATAAAATAAACAAACCAAAGGTCAATTGTGCTGTTATTATTTATAGTAGTACATAACCCCACCCTTAATTAATAAGAATTAGAATAATTGTTCAGTAATGCTTTGCATTGTGATTCCTACCCCATACAATATCACCCTTATTCATTCAAGGTTCATGGGATATGTTCTTCACCTTTTCTGTTTGCTATAAACCGTTAATGTAGATGAAGAGTTAAACATTGATGTTCATGTTGATCTGCCCATAGTCAAGATCCTCTGTGGATTTTCTAGTCTACACTACCCACACTGCAGCTACTATTCTAACAAGACATCCACGTGGCAGATAGGAATAAGGGCCGTTTCATGAACAACGCTCCTCTTTATACTTTGCATGGCACGTTTCCAGAATATTCAATGAGCTTCACAGTTTGCATATAAACCGCAAGGTCTCAAAGTGGCCAACTACAGATAGATAAACATGGCAAATCTGCACTGGGCCACTTAGTAAGAAAGGAGCCCCACTGTATGAGTCAGGGCTTTATCTTGGAATCACATCCATGTACAGCAGAACAGTTCATGTTTTCTGTACAAGATTTCTCTTTTTAAAAGAGCATTCACACTCATCAACACCAAACAAGTACGCTTTCAGACTGGAGATAGGTGTTCTAAAGCAGAGATGTGTGTTTTAGGAGGCAATCAGATTGATTTAGTATTTTTTTTATATTGAAAGGAAAATATGGCTAAAGGACAATTATGGTAGTGATTGATTTGCTAGGTATCTGATTTTTTTAGATGACTAATATTAGCAAAATAAGATTGCCAGGACAAACTACGGTGATTTCTGCACCAGGTCTGAATGCTTTGGGGCCCTTTTATTACATATTAATATATTCATATGGTTAATTAGGTTGGAACTGAACATTTATTTATTTTTTATTTCTGCTATATAGTGTTGCAGGTGTGCACAGGGCCAGACTGGGAATATAAAGCAGCCCTAGAAAAAAAATCTATGCCAGCCCCATAAGTCATTGTGCCATGTATTGTACCAGTCCCCAGTTCCTCCTTCCTTACTCCCCTCGGACTGACACAGGTTGGCACAGCCTGAGGGGAAAATCATTTAAATTACTGTAGCGTGATGTTTTGGGCTGTCTGCCTGGCCTCAGGTGCCGCGGCCCACTGGGAAATTTCCCAGTATCCTGGTGGGCCAGTCCAGCCCTGGGTGTGCACCAGTGCTCCATCCAGGGGAGGGCTGGCAGCCTTAGGCCTGGAGGGCAAAACCAGTCAAGTGGCCCATTGCACCACCAAATCAGTTCACCATCCATGCCCACCTTTTCCTGGTTTTATAACGGATATTGATGTTATGCTAATCAGTAGCTCTTTGCCATACCCGCTCCTTCACGGCTCCAGGCACTGCTTGTTGTGAGTGTGAGCCACTGTAAATTAGGGGCAGAGGGCACTTGCACTGCGGTAAAGATGGGGCTGGGCAGGAGGAGAGTGCAGTGCAATCAGTGCACTCCCCTCCTGTGGGTCACCAGTAGACTGGTGCACCTGCCCAGGATCAGAGCCGGTGCAAGGATTTTTGCCGCCCTAGACAAAATAAAAATTTGCTGCCCCCCCATGTAACATCACAATGCCCCACCCATATGAACTAACGCCAGTGCTGCACACAGTGTGTGTTTACATTAAAAAGGCTGCAGGGACCAGCTATAGACACCAGAACCACTTCATTAAGCTATAG